GTTTTTCAATATTGGTGGGGGTTGTGTGTGTGTGTGTGTTTTTTTTTTTTGTTATGAAGATATTTGTGGGGATTTTGTTCATGCAATTTACAGTACTTGAACAAATGTTCTACGTGTTGCATGCAATTATATCTTAGCAAGCTGCAGGAAATGGTTTATTTTTTCTACTAGGCTATTGAAAATGTATAATATGTTGCACGTATTAGCTAGATTCTCCTACCTTTTTCTTTATAATTATCTTGTTTGTTATGTATAATTTTGTTTTTATAGAAGATGGATTTTAGGAGGGCAGGATTCGAACCACGGCCATGAAGGAGGGCTTAGGCCCTGATAACCGTTGGAGCACTTGACAACTTCGTTTATAGAAGATGGATTTTAAAAATCTACTTTTTATAAATATATATAAAAAATACTTCTCAGAGATTATGGATTGGATTCTTTCTGGTGGGTGGTATTTGACCACGTCCAGATAATTTGAAGATGTTCTATTAGAGCTCTTTTTGGTGCTCTGTTTGAAAGAAAGAAATAAAGAAATCAAACAGTCTTCCACGAAAAATAGAAACAACTGTCATCAATGAAATATTTGCTTCTTGTATATATGTATAAAAATAAAAAGATAAATAGAAATAGAAATAGCTAGTTTTTTTCTTTTAAAAAAATTCATACAACATTTTAGGGGTCTTAAAAAATTTATTATTATTATTATTATATTATTTTGTAAATATAGTAGCTCTTCGATCAACCTCCATCGAATGAGGGTGTTTTGTAGTTTCCTTGGTACAGGGTCTCTTTTCTATAGACCTTATAGTGCTACTTCTTTTAGTTCAATGTAGGTGCTTGTTTCTCACCCAAAAAATTATTCTTTACAGGATACTGTTCTCGAGCTTGAGTTTCAAGGAGTTAAAAAGCAATTTACCATGCTTCAGGTTTCTAATGATGCCTTATTTACGATTCCAATTCATGTTTTTTATGATTTAATAAGTTCTTATGTATGTAACTGTGCCTATCTATGTGTAGACTTGGCCTGTGCGTACTCCTAGACCAGTTGCATCTAAGCTTGCAGCTGATACCCCTCTTTTGACTGGGCAGGTGAATAAAATAGTTGGTTGTTTTACCTTGATTTTCTTTTTCCTTAGTTAAACTGTGCATTTCTAGTGACTTTTATTTTATTATATTTATGTATTTGGTTTTCTGCAGCGTGTTCTTGATGCCCTCTTCCCTTCAGTTCTTGGTGGGACATGTGCTATTCCAGGAGCATTTGGTTGTGGAAAAACAGTCATTAGTCAAGCTCTCTCTAAAGTAAGTTAATTTTCTAATATCCAAGGGTTTTATGTAATATCTTGTGGTGCTAAAAATTATTGTTGTTGCTGAATTTTCATGCAGTACTCAAACTCTGATACTGTGGTGTATGTTGGTTGCGGAGAGAGAGGAAATGAAATGGCTGAAGTTCTAATGGATTTTCCTCAATTGACGATGACATTACCTGATGGCCGTGAAGAATCTGTCATGAAGCGTACCACTCTTGTGGCTAACACTTCTAATATGCCTGTGGCTGCTCGTGAAGCTTCAATTTATACTGGTAAAATTGTGGTTTCTTTTTAAAAATTGTCTTAGATCTCTCTTTTCTCATTTAACCACAATGCTCGACTCTAATCTATTTGGTGAAATTGTCTTCTTGTGTCTTTGGTGTTGCTATTATGATGAGCCTTGAATGCAATTTTACTATCAAAAACTTATTTCCATTTTATATTGAGTCATTGACTCAATATTGTATCCCCTGTTTTAATTTGTTGAACTTATTGTTTGACATTTGTGGCAAACAAAGATTTTTCACTAAGTACAACATGAAATGAATTACTAGTACTTCCAATTTATACGTACATTAAAATTTTCATTGTATTTATGTCCTATCCTTTTTGTATTTCACATCTTTCAAGTTTTGTAAAGCCGCGGGCTATTTTTAATTATATCAATATCAACCATA